GGCCATGTAAGATCATTATGCTTTAAACATGACGTATTTTCGCCAATAGGTGCAGATTTCGAAGAATACGCTGAGGCTGACTTGGAATAACTGCGTGAAAAGATGGACGGTCGAAAGGTTAAAATAACTTGTTGATTTCATAACCTTCCTACTTGAGCTAAATTGTCGAAAAATCAATTAAGATGGCATGTTTATCTGTAGTATATATTACCATTGCCCACACTTTACTAGCAAACCACGGTCTTTTGATTTTTTCTTTCTGTGTTATTTGGAGTTGAGCAAATTGGGAAAAAACTCGAGGCGTTCGGCGGGATTGGAACCTGCGTATTAAGGAAGGCCTTTACCGGAAGCAGATCTGCCAAATCTCCTAATATTCTATGTTATTATATTTAGCATACAAAGCTGTCCGCAGTGGCCCTGTAGCACCACTGTGGAAATCTGTAATCGGCGCGAATATCGTTCAATCACCGTACCTTCGCCCGCCAAGCTTGCAGTCACGGTAACTGTCCACCACATGCGCTCTTGGTCGATCTGCTGTGAACGACGCGCACCCTGTCCACCTCTCGTTAAATTTCGAGTATTCGCCTCACGAGCTCAAGCCAATCAGTGTGCACCGTTTCCTGATTGGGTGCAGGAACAAAACATGTCCTGGGCTTCCTGGAATGCCGCACCCTCACTTCACGTGAGAGGCGGCCCGCTGGCCTGCGACTGCTCACTCACTTGACAGTCAAATTCCCCCTGCCTATTTTCCATTTCCACCCGTACAAAATGAACTGTTCCTCCCAGTACGTGAGCCATCAACCTTGCCATCCTGAAGTCACACCTGACAAAGGGCCGCGAACAGAGGAAAGCATGCAGTCCCAAAGAGCCGTGAACACGGGTAAGAACGCCGCTAAGTTATGCGTGTCCCCGAGAAGTCCAGCAGCACGCGATGGCTGTCCTGATGGACCAATAAGAAGAGGCGGAGCGGGCAAAGGCCAATTGTCCTTAAATGCGAGGGCGCACACAAGAGGGGGGACTTGCGGCAAACGAGGACGCCTTGACGCAACAACAGAGGACTTGCTGACGGACACGGGACAAGTTGAGAGACATGCGCAGAGTTTTATATTCACGCAGAAAATGTTACAGTTAACTGTTCTCTGGTATCCTGTCTGTCTTCTATTCTACACGTTAAACTGGGGGACACAACAATTATGCTCGTCATTTTATGCAAATTAGTCATGTATGTAGGGAGAGTTTGGTGTCGATAGGAGACGACTGGTTACGCGACAGTGAGGGTGTGTTGGAGCCGGTCCAACAAGAGGAGAGAGCGGGAAAATGCATGCAGTTAAGTAGCCGCTTGCCATGTCAAGCTTACAGGAGGTTCTCTGATGCATACCAGAAGGGCATCCTCAACCTGATAGTTTTGCTTCTGTTGTTGTTAGCAGGCACCGACCCAGGGACTTGAGGTACTTTGGTGGGACCTTATAAATCGCCCGGAAGACTTCATTGGGGTCCATGTGATGTCTGGAATCAACAATGTACGCGAAAATAGCGCTGTTTAGGCTCCTGACTTCGTTTTTTCTCAGGCATGACAGGAGGTGTTCCCTTATTTTTCTTTGGCTAGTCGCCGACTCGTGCGACCAGTATACCCTGCTTCAAGGGAGCAAATAAATGAGTAGGTGCACATAGGGGTGGTCTGAACTGGCAACTTATCCTAACCTTCCTCGTGCAAGACCGGGCTGGTTGACAATAATACCCAAACTCTCGCTGCTGGTAAGGTCCTTAACACGGCTTGGTCAAGGCGTCTTCCCAGGAGCTCACTTTCTGCGTCCCCTTGGAAAGGAACTTTGAAGAATAGCGTCTTCTTTTCCATAGTGGGTGTGGTGGGCCTTATAACTCTCGTTACCGTATTCCTGGTGATGAATCTCTAAGGATACCCGCTCTCTCGAAGCATGTCGTAGATTTTCTTATACTCCTCTTCAATACGGTCTGCTGAACACATTTTTCTAGTCCTTCCCGCCAAGGAGCGGACTAAACTACTCATAGGTTGGATGAGTAAGAAACTGCTTAACTTCGTATATTGCTATTCTATTTAACGCGAAATAGTATCTTTGATTCTTTATGCCACTAGTCTGTCGTCCGAATTGGGTAAATGGTTTGACTATTGGGCCCCTGGGGTTGGATATGACTGGCTGATGATGGCATATGACCCAGAAAGGACAATTACAGTCACCCTCGTCTTTGACAGCAATGCGCATCTGCCTAGCCTACTAGCCGCGGTATGGCTGCTGGCCGGGCTCGAGAGTGGGAGAGTTTCGTTAGCGATAGTTGAGCGTTTATACGCGAATTTCAATGATCCCGACCTAAACCGACGAGACAACGAGCCCGTGGCTCAATGGTTAGGGCGCTGGACTTCTGATCAACAGGTCGCGGATTCGAGCCACGGTTTGGGCACCACCTGGGGTTGGGTGTGACTAGCTGAAGACGGCTAAGGAATCAGAAATGGTTATTTCTCCTTTTTCCTTCTCAGCAGCGTTCATTTGCCTACCCTACTATCCGCTTTGGGCTGCAGAGTGAGCTCAAGGCCGAACGGAACGAGGAAGTTCCGATAGCAGTCGTTGAGTGCTCATCAACGAAAGTAGAAAAGTGGCCAGTTATGTAAGACGGACGTTGGCTTCTCTGTGATCAGACCACAAGACAATTTAAGGTGTTTGCATCTTCTTTAAGATAGCAAATGATCGTTGCGCTATGCAGCAGCTAATCAAGGCAATTAACTCAAATAAGAATCATCATTCTGCAGGTTAGTCGCCAATAACCCCAACTGCCTGAACTGACAATCGTCCTTAAACTCATCCTAAATATTTCTCAGTCAACAGCTCACATCCCTGGACTCTTCTTTGACTACTCCATGTATTCACTTTTTAATGCTTTGAAGGCCCAGACCACGATGATTTGCTGCACATTCCATCGCCTTTCTTGGACGCCGCCTTTGCACATTAAATTTAGGTCTCAAAAATGGACCATGAGATAAAATTCGCACTCTTAGTGATAATTACCCAAACTGCGATCAAAGTAAGTTGTATATTTTTGGGATGGGGTTTTTTGATTAAATTTCAATAAAATAGCTGATTTGCTTATCATCGAATACTGTGTGATACACTTGAAAATGTTTGGCTGTGCTCTACAAAAAACTACGATGACGGTATGGTTTCTTAATTTCCCTAGAAATTACCTTCTGTGCTCGGTATAAATCAGTATATTCAAGGTCTATAGGCATAAACCGAAATGTTATGCATGTTATTTAGGCCGAACTCGATCAGCCACTGCGGGAAAACCGCGTTATATATAAGTGCTGCCAGCGGGCAGACAGTGGTATAACTTTATGTTTTATTTCCCCATACTGGCAGCACAAGTACGAGCTAATAGCTACAGTAACGTCGGCATGAAACGATGGTCGTTTATGAGTGCTCAAAAGCTCTTCGTGATCATGACTGTTCGAATGAATTTTTGATTTACCACAGTCGCCTAAATTTTGGGGCATCTTTTATGTGGACTGTTACGACAAAAATTACCACTCCTGGTTTGTGTGAGATGTTTGGCGGTGAAAAGTAAATACAGACGCTAGACACTTTGGGCTCTGTTTTTGTCACGCTCTTTTTATAGTCAATTATGTTGCTTAAGAGGCTAACATATGCGCGAGTCCATCCAATAGTGAAGTGCCAGTTCAAATGATTGCAGAACGAATATTTAGTAGCCCGTACCGATCAGGAGGATTAAAGGAAACATAGTACTGCTCAAATAAATAGTACCTCAGTCTCAGCCTACGTAAAACTTAAAGTCCAGTCATACAAAACCTGCTTATTTGACTGTATAGCTTTCGGTTTGGTGCTGTTCATCGCAATCTAAGCCTAAATTGTTACGATTTTCTGCAGCCGGTTCATTCACTACTTCTCACAGAGCCTGGGTACATCCATACCCATTATTTTAGGTATCTTCATAGTTTTTTGCTGCGCAGGCTTGCGGCTTCTAAAAACATACGCCACTCGGGGCGTTCAGGTGACCATCGGCCGCTTGCGCACGCTGTTCTAGGTTGTAGCGGGCGATAAAAATTGACCAATGGAGAACTTGGTCCTGGGCCCTACCCAGTCGCTGATTGGCTGCCCGCTTGACACTGTCAGCCTACTTAACGATGCAACATGTGCGTTTGGAGTTAATCTAGGGTAACAGATACGGAAAGCTCTAGCGAAGTACCCTATCTCATCACTTATATTCTATCCGCAAAAAACGTATGAGCTTATCCTCACACACCTTCATGCAGTGACATCAGCTTGGTTTGCTATACAAAAATGCACTTTCCAGACCCCTTATTCTACATACTATTCGTTTTATTCGGTGCAATCCCAATCCAAGCCTTGGCGTCCCCTGACTTGGGCATAGTGACAACC